AAGCGGCGTTAAGCCCAACACACTCGCTATTAAATTCTAGACCTGTTAAAGAGCCACAATCCTGTATCAATTCAATTAATTCATTTTAATGGTTTATTTTATAAAAGGCGACTGGACCATCTACAACTGACGTAGCATAAAAGCTTGATCAATGTATGGAGGTACTTGTAGTTGTAAGTTATATTTTTGGTTTGACAGCAGACATATACAGTTATTAGTGTACATGAAAATGGCCAGGCGGGTATTAGTGACTTTCCAATATTTATTATCTCCCTTTCTTCACTTTAAGGGGCGGTGGGGTAGCCTAGTGGTTAAAGCGTTCGCTCGTCACGCCGAAGACCCGGGTTCGATTCCCGACATGGGCACAATGTGTGAAGCCCATTTCTGGTGTCCCCCGCCGTGATATTGCTGGAATATTGCTAAAAGCGGCGTAAAACCATACTCACTCACTCACTCTTCACTTTTAAATCATTTAGGCCAAGTCTAAAGCGTATGAAAGGTATTGCGGAGATGTTTGAATCTTCATTTTGAAACATACGACACTGGTTCAAGGAGAGACTTGATATTGCGATATTTGTCGTATCTCGAACTTCCTGAAAGTGTAGAGTACTAATCCTGTCGGAACATATCTATAGCACGAGTACGAAATTGTTATAAAGCATATGCATGTCACCAATAGATTGCGAGATCCATATAAACCCAAGCCATAATTAAAAAGAGTTAAGCGCACACGGGAGGCCCATGTGTTCTTGCCAATATTATCAAGATATACCAGCATATTATAAGCTTTCTTTGGCAAACGATGTTCAGACATATACATAATAACTTCAGCCAAAAGCGTAGGCATCGAGTATAAGATGTTATTTATAGTGGGAACCTCCCACATTCACCATAAACCATATTACTGGGAGCTGACATGCCCACATTAAGAAATACTTTACAGGCGAACAGCTGAACCTTTTCCATAGCATAAAACTCTCTACAGCCACATATTTCTGCGCCATACAATAAGATCGGCTGTATTTGACAATCAAACGGTTTAAAGAAAATTTGAGGTGTAACAACGCCAAGTTCATGTACAACCGACTGTAGTTGAAAGAAAGCTTTCTAAGCTCTTGTTGATAAATTTAACACCGATTTAATTAAGTTTAATGTACTTCTGAATACTATTCCACGACAATATTCATATATTCAGCCTTAAATGTCCACTTTTCTCTTAGTGCAATAGGTCATCCTTTTATAAAAATCACAATATTAGTCTTTATCGAAGTTTACTTCAAGTTTACTATCAAGGGTCGAGCTAGTAACGTTCTTAACTACAACTGTCGTGTCTATAAACGTATTATATAGACTGGTGTCATGGCTAATTCAGAAACACAAACTGCTGCGGGTGTGTGACAGGGCGGGGAAGGGTGACGACGTATAGCGAAGCCGAGTTTGCTGTAGTTGTTAAACTGCGGCATGGTATCTCAGTGGGCTAGCACTATAAATCGGCATCAGTCCGGACCAGTACAAGCAGCCACACACACACACACACACACACACACACACACGTGCATGCACGTCGTTATATAAGTGCAATAATCTTGGACGCGACGTTAAACCCAATTTCACCTCACCTTATTCATGTGCCCATAGTGTCCTTCCACTTCATGTTACTGACATCACTCAAAGACGACGTCTATACACCACTCTAGGCTTTCCTCCCACACCGACACGTGATATCAATGACGTACTGTTCAAAGCGGCGTACAACACAACTCACTCATTCATTCTTTGCTCTCACAGCGCCCCGTGAAGATCCGGGGTATAATAGGTCTTCAGCAACCCATTCTTGTCGTAAAAGCGACTATGCTTGTCGTAAGAGGCGGCAATCGGGATCGGGTGGTCAGGCTCGCTGACATTGGTTAATGCTATCATCGTATTCCATTTGCGTGCATCGATGCTCATAATGTCAATCGTTGGATTGTCTGGTCCAGACTCGATTATTTACAGACCGCCGTCATATAGCTGGAATATTGCTGAGTGCGGCGTCAAACAACAAACAAACACATCTCACGGCCAAAGATCAAGGACTTGATTGAAACAAGTACAGCACAATAAAATATCGCCAGCACAACATGTGTCGGGACGTTGATCTTACATTTATTAATGGTTGAACTCTGTTCTAATAGCAATAGAAGTTATCTTGCAAAGACATTAAAATATGTAAATGCAAGCTCAGCGCTACACACACAAGACTGCTATTCTGCCGGACAGTGACTGGACTCCGATATGTACTTGTATACGACCAGTAAGAAGAACATGTGTGTTTTCAAACCATACGCTGTAGGGAGGGAAGATTTTAGTTTCTTAAATATATTTCTGTAGTAGGTTACACATGTAAAAGGTGAACGTGATTCGAACGCTCCACGTTTCCTCTTTTGGCCATTACCCTCGGCTCGAGGTGCAATAGTCAGAACCGAATGCAAAAGCGAATTTTATGTTGAAACGTTCTGAAATCCTTGAATTTGAAAAAAAAATTATATGAGGGGCAAGCGGGTCATGAGAGAAAAGATCTTTTTCATAAGCCTATACATTGGAACAATTTTCCTTGTAAGACATGCAGATGGCAGATACACTATTTATATGGCTCTACAACGAATGAAATATGAAACAACGTCATCTACAGTATGAAACAACGTCATCTCTTCCCTAGCATAGAAACATGGTATGGGATGGAGCACGCGTCTGGACAAGCATGGAATACTGGGGAACAGGCGCAAAGACAAACATGGAATACTGGGGAACACACGTCAGGACGAACATGGTATAATGGGGAACACACGCCATGACAAGCATAGAATACTGGGGAACACGTGCCAGGACAAGCATGGAATACTGGGGAACATGTGCCAGGACAAGCATAGAATACTGCGGAACACGTGCCAGGACAAGCATGGAATACTGGGGAACATGTGCCAGGACAAGCATAGATTACCGGGGAACACGTGCCAGGACAAGCATGGAATACTGGGGAACACGTGCCAGGACAAGCATGGAATACTGGGGAACACGTGCCAGGACAAGCATGGAATACTGGAGAACACACACCAGGACAAGCATGGAATACTGGGGAACACGTGCCAGGACAAGCATGGAATACTGGGGAACACGTGCCAGGACAAGCATGGAATACTGGAGAACATGCACCAAGAAAAGCATGGAATACTGGGGAACATGCCTCAAGAGTAGCATGGAATACTGGGGAACACACACCAAGACAAGCATGGAATACTGGGGATCACACACCAGGACAAGCATGGAATACTGGGGAACCCACATCACGATAAGCATGGAATACCGGGGAACCCACATCACGATAAGCATGGAATACTGGGGTACCCACATCACGATAAGCATAAAATACTGTGAAACACACTAGGACAAGCATGGAATACAAGGGAACACACGTCAGGACAAGCATGGAATCCCGGGGAACATGCGCCAGGACAAGCATGGAATACTGGGGAACACGCAACAGGACAAGCATGGAATACTGGGGAACAAGCAACAGGACAAGCATGGAATACTGGGGAACACGCAACAGGACAAGCATGGAATACAAGGGAACACGCAACAGGACAAGCATGGAATACTGGGGAACACGCAACAGGACAAGCATGGAATACAAGGGAACACACGTCAGGACAAGCATGGAATCCCGGGGAACATGCGCCACAACAATCATGGAATACCGGGGAGCACGCATTAGGACAAGTATGGAATACCGGGGAACACGCACCAGGACAAGCAGTAGGTGTCTAATCTCGTGTTGTATCATCATGTTAACACGCTGTCCACAAACTTCGTGTAAGGATGTTCTGTTCTCCAGAGGCTCGTCAGCTGCAACATATGCTTCCAAGGTTAACACATCGTCAGACAATTTATGTGGTTGCGAAGTCAGCGAATGATGATTTCATTTTCTACCACAAATTATGATGTTTTAAAGGTTCAGAAAACTGGGCCATCTGTGTTCAGGTGATTGACTGCCTGCGGTTCCAAACTGTCGGAAATTACCATAAATGCTTTTTCAGAGAGTGTTTTGCAGACACTTGCTGTAGCCTTTGCAACAGCCGTAAAATTGAAACTTTAAGAAAGTTATTATGATGTCATGGAGTGAATGTGTGTACTGGCCATTGATGTCGTTCCGGGCTACATCGTCCGTGTTGGCTACGTCTTCGTTATGAAACGGCGCCGTTAGAGCAGCAACAGTCCGCCAGATGGGCCCGCCATTCTTCTGCCGATTCGATACCTACAACGTCGGCAGGCAGTTCAAGACGCTAGTGTCGGCAGGCAGTTCTAGGTATTACATGTGTTGGAGATCACCTCAAACGCTTCGTGTAGCAATTTAAGCCAGATGTTTTGGTTTAGCTTTAATTATTTCTTATACCACAAGATTGCATTTGGTCTTTGATTTAGTTTGTGAGCATCCCAATGGGAGATGCTCATCACTGAGCCGGGGGTATTTAGTTGTAATCCTCGGCATACAAAATAAACACCCTTCCTACCTGTTGTTGAAAAACGGCAACAAAATATGCACTTGCCATGGACAAATGTATGTTTGTTGGCGTCTTGCTTGACGTGTCTGCGTCAAGCTTGATGTGGCTAGTCGTGCTTGAAGTGTCTGTGTCATGCTTAGTGTGTCTGTGTCATACTATTCTACACGGGATCTTCAGGGGTCTCATGAGAGGGTGAGGACATAGTGAGTGAGTGAGTTCGGTTTAACGCCGCTTTTAACAGTATTCCAGTTATATCACGGCGTGTCAGCTTAATGTCCGAAGTGATGCCGGACTCTGACGTTTACCACTTCGGTTAAACCCACGAGCACGGGTATGGTGCTGACAAACCTAGAAACATAATCGGGGCGAACCGGGATTCGAACCCACAATCATAGGTTACTGGCGTGCCCAAGGGACGCAACTCTGTACAGCGAATCGTGCCCCCTTGTGAGGACATAGATGGGGACGGAGCACGTCACACCACCCAGTAGTCAGGCTGTCTGTGATGCGGCCAGGAAGACAACTGGGAGTGGCATCTTGTTGAAAATGGTACTTGGTCTAGCCATCAACACCCATTTGTTCCAAGAATTGTTGATTAAGTTGTGAAGGTGTTCAATTACCATGGTAACTCTCAGTGTTAAGTCTTTGATCTCCATGTCTCACTGATTATTACCCTCCACTATGACCCAGGTAGGATCTCGTTCCACTATAAACCGCCACATAAATAGAAGCTGAGCATCTCCCACTAATTAGCAACTAGCATCACCGTGCTACGTCAGCCAGCTGCTGTGGGGATATGCACCCTATACTTCAGTATAATGCAACATCTTTATTCTGTTATGAGGCCGTGTTTCGGTAAAGGGTCCTTATGCCTTTGTCAAGCAAGAATATCTTTCCTCACTGAACATTACCTGCTCACTTCTAAAATGCCAATCAAACAGTTTAATGTGTAATACTGCAACAGTGTTAAGTATTGTAGTGAGTGAGTTGGGTTTAACGCCGCTTTTAACAGTATTACATTCATATCACGGCGTGTCAGCTTAATGTGGGAGGAAAGCCCGAAGTGTTTCAGGTCTTAGACGTTTACCACTTCGGTGAAACCCACGAGCACGGGTATGGTGCTGACAAACCTAGAAACATAATCGGGGCGAACCGGGATTCGAACCAACAATCATAGGTTTCTGGCGTGCCTAAGTGACGCAACTCCGCACAGCGAATCGCGGCGCCTTAGACGACTGGGCCACCCGTGCCCCCGTTAAGTATTGTAGGCGCATTGTATTGTAACAGTGTATTGTATTGTAACAGTGTATTGTATTGTAACAGATTAGTGTATTGTAACATTGTAGTGTATTGTAACACTGTAGTGTAACATTGTAGCGTATTGTAAAATTGTAGTGTTACATTGTAATGTAGTTTAAGTATAGTGTATTGTATCAGTGTTGTTTATTGTAACATTTTAGTGTATCATAAGTGTGTTGTATTTTAACATTTAGTGTATTATAAGTGTGTTGTATTTTAACATTTTAGAGTATTATAAGTGTGTTGTATTTTAACATTATTGTGTATTATAAGTGTGTTGTATTTTAACATTATTGTGTATTGTAAGTGTGTTGTATTTTTACATTAATGTGTATTGTAAGTGTGTTGTATTTTAGCATTTTCGTGTATTATAAGTGTGTTGTATTTTAACAGTGTAATGTATTATAAGTGTGTTGTATTTTAACATTTTCGTGTATTATAAGTGTGTTTTATTTTAACATTATAATGTATTTTAAGTGTGTTACATGCTAACATTTTAGTGAATTATAAGTGTGTTGTATTTTAACATTATTGTGTATTATAAGTGTGTTGTATTTTAACATTTTAGTGTATCATAAGTGTGTTGTATTTTAACATTCTTGTGTATTGTAAGTGTGTTGTATTTTAACATTTTCGTATATTATAAGTGTGTTGTATTTTAACAGTGTAATGTATTATAAGTGTGTTGTATTGTAACATTTTAGTGTATTATAAGCGTGTTGTATTATAACACTATTGTGTATTGTGTGTTGTATTGTAACATTATTGTGTATTGTAAGTGTGTTGTATTTTAACATTTTAGTGTATTATAAGTGTGTTGTATTTTAACATTATTGTGTAATATAAGTGTGTTGTATTTTAACATTATTGTGTATTGTAAGTGTGTTGTATTTTAACATTATTGTGTATTATAAGTGTGTTGTATTTTAACATTATTGTGTATTATAAGTGTGTTGTATTTTAACATTATTGTGTATTATAAGTGTGTTGTTTTTTAACATTATTGTGTATTGTAAGTGTGTTGTATTTTAACATTTTCGTGCATTATAAGTGTGTTGTATTTTAACAGTGTAATGTAGCTGTAGAATGAATGAATGAATGAGTGTAGTGTGTTGTAGTGTATTGCTACAGTGTAGTGTGCTGTAGTGTATTGCTACAGTGTAGTGTGTTGCTACAGTGTAGTGTGTTGTAGTGTATTGCTACAGTGTAGGGTGTTGTAGTGTATAGAAACAGTGTAGTGTGTTGTAGTGTATTGCTACAGTGTAGTGTGTTGTAGTGTATTGCTACAGTGTAGCGTGTTGTAGTGTACTGCTACAGTGTAGTGTGTTGTAGTGTCTTGCTACAGTGTAGTGTGTTGTAGTGTACTGCTACAGTGTAGTGTGTTGTAGTGAACTGCTACAGTGTAGTGTGTTGTAGTGTATTGCTACAGTGTAGTGTGTTGTAGTGTATTGCTACAGTGTAGTGTGTTATACAGGAAGGAATGATACAGTATCCAGGCCCTGGGAGTGACAAGTGGATACTGTAACAACTACCCAACCAATTATTACACTTCTCTGGGACCACTCTTCCCTTCTTCTACTATTATCAAAACATTATACTGTCATAATATGATGATAATATCTTTGCATTATTTACAAATATCTTTATGACATTGAAAAACATAAATTGTTGCACACACACATCAATAATATGATTACTGTTTTAATTTGCCTTCTTTGTGCACAGCTGTGACAGAGGCATTACCAATGGTCTAATTGATCAATGATAATTAAGTCGGGCAGCTGAAGTAGTGGCGACACAGAGGCCCACAGCAGACCAGGCTAAGCCATTGCACATAGATGTGTCAGGATACACACCCAGACGAAGTGGGTTTATGCTAAACATTATATGCGAAAATATAAAGACTTTTAACCAGTAAAAAAAAATCAACATTAGATGCAAAGTAATTGGCTGTTTGTATAATTCAGCTGTAAAGCCTCCAAGCATGTCTCACTTGATAGTACCTCTTTGAAGGTAACAATGAGTGAGTTGGGTTTAACGCCGCTTTTAACAGTATTCCAGTTATATCATGTGTGTGAGCTTAATGTGGGAGGAAAGCCCGAAGTGATGAAGGTCTTAGACGTTAACCACTTCGGTGAAACCTACAGGCGCGGGTATGGTGCTGACAAACCTAGAAACATAATCGGGGCGAACCGGGATTCTTCAAAGGTAACAATGAGATAGAAAGATTTCTTCAACACAATAGGAAAAAGTAGCAGTAGGTTTCTAAAGACAGTGTATTTGACAACCATCATCAAATATTCTGTTCATTACAGAATTTAAGCTTATTCTGCGTGATTTTACTTCTCAAACAAAAACCCATTTGGCACCCTACCACTTCCTTCTGAGATCACACATGGGACAATAAATAGTTCTGACCGGTGAGCCTGAGGGAATACATCTTCCCGAGGCAAGAGAGTTGACTGTCTTAAAAAAGTCCAGTTTCCACCCTTGCCGAACTAGGCTGGAATTACTGGGCTCGATCGTAGTGCCAACAGTGGCTATTACGAGTTATGTCCCTTCTAAGCCTCTCCTATGGACCAATCAGATTCCATCTCTCGTGTCACTTGCATGATCTTACTTCTCAAACAAAAACCCATTTGGAACCCTACCACTTCCTTCTCGGACCACACATGGGACAATAAATAGTTCGGACTGGTGAGCCCGAGGGAATAATGGGAAAAAAACATTGTAAACATTATTTTATACAACCGGTACACATGCATTATACCAGGCACCAATCTGCCATGTCTGCTTGATGCAACTAATAAAGTATTTTGTATTTACTTTGGTAATTAGAAATTTCCTATATTTACGAAAGCATTGAATTGAAACCGTTGAGTAGGGGGCAAGCCCCCCAAACACCCTGTTGTTTAAGCGAGGCGACAAAAATGGCGTCTGAAAAACATAGAAACAGTTACTAAGGAATGAGCTCGTGCTCAAAATGGCGGAAGGTGTCCGGCATACTACATTCTTGTCGATACAACCAATGACGAACATGTTCAAGACATGCTGGAATGGTATGCAATACATAAGAAATTCTAACCAATTACAATGTACAGCAGTTCCTAGCGTGTAGGAATACTTGTACTGGAAACAGAAGCACAGCCATTTTAAACCATGATCAGTCACTTGTTAACATTCAGAGTGTCCTCAGTAACAAGCAGACAATAAAATTGGCGGAAAATGTTGGGACCATACAAACTGGTCAGACAACCGCCAATTATATGGTGCCAAGAATCTTTAACCCATGTCAACAACTGGGTGATATAAGTTTATCACCACTCAACAGAGATACAAATATTTCAGTGACAGATTGAACCATCTCATAGACAATTATAATTGAATATACATTTCACTCATTTTGTTCATAAGTGGTCGTGTAATATGTTCCATTATCATATTCCATCAGTATAGATTAAATTTTAAAATCAATAAATACTTCATTAAGAGCAGGTTTTTAATAAAAATCACCTTGCACGTTACAGAACTTATGATGCAAGGGTGAGTGAGTGAGTTGGGTTTAACGCCACTTTTAACAGTATTCCAGTTATATCGCAGCGTGTCAGCTTAATGAGGGAGGAAAGCCCGAACAGATGCAGGTCTTAGACGTTTCCACTTTGGTGAAACCCACGAGCACGGGTATGGTGCTGACAAACCTAGAAACATAATTGGGGCGAACCAGATTTTGAACCCACAATCATAGGATTCTGGCGTGCCCAAGGGACCCAACTCTGCACAGCGAATCACGGCTCCTTTGCCGACTGGCGCCACAAGGGGATAGCATACTTAAACCATAAAGGTTCAATTATTCATAGCGAAGACTTCGACATACTTTCACCTCCAAGTGACTATTTGAAGTCGTGACACAAAGTGATGAACAAAATATTCAAATACACTGACATTTCCACAAGAAAATTCTGGCAACCTACATTTTCCTATGGCAGAAGCATGTCTAAATTTTCTTCTGACCATATGCTTAGGATACAAGTGTCAGTTCAGCCTAGGAGAACTGCCACATTTTGAGAATTTATGCCTCAAGATTCAAATTAGAAACAGTAATTTTTCTGAATATTCCCTCATAACAGATACATCTCGGATTCAACATCTAGTGCATAATCGTCTGTTTACGATGATTGGTGAGTTTAGCTTTTTTAAGTTCTTGTTAGTTCCTTCATTTGTGCCCCGAGAGGACTCGGGATTCCCTGCGTGGATGTTTGCTGGCTGTATCCTGATGTGAGATTCACTGAACTCCACATGTTGCGCACAGCTCTGTATAAATACTAGTTGCAATGTGGTAGGGGTCATTTGAAAAGAACCAATTAACCCTTGTGACAAATGCACTTTCACTCACTCACTCACTCACTCACTCACTCATGAGGATCATTCCACGCAATTTGGATACGATGACATGCATAAACCAAGTCAGCAGCCTGACCACCCAACGCAGTTAGTCCCTTCCTACGACAAGCATAGTCGCCTTTTACGGCAAGCATTGGTTGCTGAAGACCCATTCTACCCCAGATCTTCACAAGTCGGCAACTAAATACACATGGAGTTCACTGAGCACTCACTACAATATTGGCCAAGCCACGAGCATGGCTATGCTGCTGACTTAAGGAAAATCCATATATTGAATCAATCATCAGTGGATCCTTCATGTGTAAGGGACGCAACTCTGCAAAGTTATCAGATAAGAGCTGTTTTATGTTATTTCGGAAGTAAAGATTTTCATTTGAAACTGAAGGTGTTGCAGTGATCAGGAGATGCAGAATCTAGAGCCTCCTAATCTTACAATATGAAAACGGGGAAAATTAACCAAACGTTTGAACTGATTGTTATTAATTCAAAAACATCCGCATGACTGACTGGTGGTTGTAATAAATATTGATAATAATTATATTTTCAGATTTGGAACATTCATGATTATTTATTACCAGTCAAAAATCGTACACAGCTACTTGTTTGTAAAGAGTGAGAGTAAATGGTTCGGATTTGTCCTCCTTGTCTTGTAATATCAACAAGTGCATGTGAAGTAAATGTACACACACTGAAAACAAGTATTTTTCATGTGGCCTGAGACGGAATGGCTTAATGTTGTTTGAATTGACTTCCATCTAATCATCTGGGAACAAATAATGCAATCATAGTTAATGTCGCTATGCAATGAAGCAATTACAGTTAATATTGCTGCTCAATTAAATAAGTGGTATTCAATTATGTAGTGTTGTGTCTCCACTGGATGCTCAACTGAAGGGCAGGTTGGCAGAAATGCGTGTCTCTGCATGTGTGCGTGTGAGTCTCATTCATGTTCAAACAACTTTAAAATAATCTTAATAAACTGAATCAATCCTTCATTAGCATGTAACATACACTCCAATAAGGTCTAACACAATCACAGACCAATACAGGCCCCACACAATCACAAGCCAACACATGCCCCACACAATCACAAGCCAACACAGGCCTAACACAATCACACACCAACACAGGCCCCATACAATCACAAACCAACATATGCCCCACACAATCACAGACCAACACAAGCCCCACACAATCACAAGCCAACACAGGCCTAACACAATCACAGACCAACACAGGCCCACACAACCACAGACCAACACAGGCCCCACACAATCACAGACCAACACAGGCCCAAAACAATCACAGACCAACACAGGCCCACACAACCACAGACCAACACAGGCCCCACACAATCACAAGCCAACACAGGCCCCACAACCACAGACCAACACAGGCCCCACACAATCACAGACCAACACAGGCCCAAAACAATCACAGACCAACACAGGCCCACACAATCACAAGCCAACACAGGCCCCACACAATCACAAGCCAACACAGGCCTAACACAATCACAGACCAACACAGGCCCCACAATCACAGACCAACACAGGCCCCATACAATCACAGACCAACACAGGCCTAACACAATCACAAGCCAACACATGCCCCACACAATCACAGACCAACACAGGCACACACAATCACAGACCAACACAGGCCCCACACAATCACAGACCAACTCAGGCCCCACACAATCACAGACCAACACAGGCCCACACAACCACAAGCCAACACATGCCCCACACAATCACAGACCAACACAGGCCCAACATAATCACAGACCAACACAGGCACACACAGGCACACACAATCACAGACCAACACAGGCCTAACACAATCACAAGCCAACACAGGCCCAAAACAATCACAAGCCAACACAGGCCCCACACAATCACAAGCCAACACAGGCCCCACACAATCACAGACCAACACAGGCCCCACACAATCACAGACCAACACAGGCCTAACACAATCACAAGCCAACACAGGCCCAAAACAATCACAAGCCAACACAGGCCCCACACAATCACAAGCCAACACAGGCCCCACACAACCACAAGCCAACACAGGCCCCACACAATCACAAGCCAACACAGGCCCCACACAACCACAGACCAACACAGGCCCCACACAACCACAAGCCAACACAGGCCCCACAACCACAGACCAACACAGGCCCCACACAACCACAAGCCAACACAGGCCCCACACAACCACAGACCAACACGGGCCCAAAACAATCACAAGCCAACACAGGCCCCACACAACCACAGACCAACACAGGCCCAAAACAATCACAAGCCAACACAGGCCCCACACAATCACAGACCAACACAGGCCCCACACAACCACAAGCCAACACAGGCCCCACACAACCACAGACCAACACAGGCCCCACACAACCACAAGCCAACACAGGCCCCACACAATCACAAGCCAACACAGGCCCCACACAACCACAAGCCAACACAGGCCCCACACAACCACAGACCAACACGGGCCCCACACAATCACAGATCAACACAGGCCCCACACAATCACAAGCCAACACAGGCCTAACACAATCACAAGCCAACACAGGCCTAACACAATCACAGACCAACACAGGCCACAGACAATCACAGATCAACACGGGCCCCACATAATCACAGATCAACACAGGCCCCACACAATCACAAGCCAACACAGGCCTAACACAATCACAAGCCAACACAGGCCTAACACAATCACAGACTAACACAGGCCCACACAACCACAGACCAACACAGGCCCCACACAATCACAGACCAACACAGGCCCCACACAACCACAAGCCAACACAGGCCTAACGCAATCACAGACCAACACAGGCCCACACAACCACAGACCAACACAGGCCCCACACAATCACAAGCCAACACAGGCCTAACACAATCACAAGCCAACACAGGCCCCACACAATCACAAGCCAACACAGGCCCAAAACAACCACAGACTAACACAGGCCCACACAACCACAGACCAACACAGGCCCAAAACAACCACAGACCAACACAGGCCCCACACAATCACAAGCCAACACAGGCCCCACACAATCACAAGCCAACACAGGCCTAACACAATCACAGACCAACACAGGCCTAACACAATCACAGACCAACACAGGCCACACACAATCACAGACCAACACAGGCCCACACAACCACAAGCCAACACAGGCCCCATACAATCACAAGCCAACACATGCCCCACACAATCACAGACCAACTCAGGCCCCACACAATCACAAGCCAACACATGCCCCACACAATCACAGACCAACACAGGCCCCACACAATCACAGACCAACACAGGCCCCACACAATCACAGACCAACACAGGCCCCACACAATCACAGACCAACACGGGCCCCACACAATCACAGACCAACACAGGCCCCACACAATCACAAGCCAACACAGGCCCCACACAATCACAAGCCAACACAGGCCCCACACAATCACAAGCCAACACAGGCCCCACACAATCACAGACCAACACAGGCCCCACACAATCACAAGCCAACACTGGCCTAACACAATCACAAGCCAACACAGGCCCCACACAATCACAGACCAACACAGGCCCCACACAATCACAAGCCAACACAGGCACACACAATCACAAGCCAACACAGGCACACACAGGCACACACAATCACAGACCAACACAGGCCCCACACAATCATAAGCCAACACAGGCCTAACACAATCACAAGCCAACACAGGCCTAACACAATCACAGACCAACACAGGCCCACACAACCACAGACCAACACAGGCCCAAAACAACCACAGACCAACACAGGCCCCACACAATCACAAGCCAACACAGGCCCCACACAATCACAAGCCAACACAGGCCTAACACAATCACAGACCAACACAGGCCACACACAATCACAGATCAACACAGGCCCACACAACCACAAGCCAACACAGGCCCCACAATCACAGACCAACACAGGCCCCACACAATCACAGACCAACACAGGCCCCACACAATCACAAGCCAACACAGGCCTAACACAATCACAGACCAACACAGGCCACAGACAATCACAGACCAACACAGGCCCATACAATCACAAGCCAACACAGGCCACAGACAATCACAGACCAACACAGGCCCATACAATCACAAGCCAACACAGGCCACAGACAATCACAGACCAACACAGGCCCATACAATCACAAGCCAACACAGGCCACAGACAATCACAGACCAACACAGGTTCCAGACAATCACAGATTTTATACACTCAAGACTATAACAATTCACCAAGATGGTGCAGCCCATAAGCAGGGGTAAGGTGTTGACTAACAAGATGTTTTTATCTCTTAATCAGCAGATCCTGGTGTAGCTAAAGGATGTAACTGTGTTCAGTGGGTTAGGGCACAAAGCCAGCCGAGCCCCAGACATATTGACATTCCCCTTTACGACACCTCCATGTCATAAATATCATTAAATACAGCATGATAAAAATGAAAATGTAAATATTATCCTATAAACCTAATTTTTGACTTGATACATATAGCTTGTATAATGCTCCCCAAAATAGTCATGTTCAAACTCATGTCTTTCTTGCATGAAAAATCCCTCCATAGAATTGCTCTGGTGCTACGAACGACATGGACACAGGGGGAAACAACAGGCAAGATAACATAATGCTAATTCATAAAGTCCCTGCATATTTCTAACTATTTCCAACAGTCTCCTTTCATCCTGTGTTTGAGAAAGACAGATGGACAATAACTGGACCAATACTCACCTCCCATTGTCTGGCAAGGGATTATCACTGAATAAAGACCAAACACTTCTTCTTTCTCTGTAAATGGGTGTTAAAACCCCCACAATGTTTTATTTGTTATACAATGAAAGGTGACAGACAAATACACAGCCCACAAACGTCAGTAACTAACAACAGGACTCTTGAATATTGATATGCCTGTGTCAGGTGCTATTACATATTCCGGTGTAAGACACATTCGTCTGTATCTTTCACAGTCGGGACTATCAACGCAGCCATCGCTGTACTTGGAACCCCACACAGGGAGGAATACTGTCCTGCATATCACAAAATGTCAGCCTTTGTAGGTGTGTGTCTGATCATGTGTGTACCTTGATATGTGTGTCTGATCATGTGTGTGACTTAATATGTGTGTCTGATCATGCGTGTCTTAATATGTGTGTCTGATCATGCATGTCTTAATATGTGTGTCTGATCATGTGTGTGTCTTAATATGTATCTGATCATGTGTGTCTTAATAGGTGTACATGTATCTTAATATCTGTGTCTGATCATATGTGTCTGATCATGTGTGTCTTAATAGGCGAAGCTGAATATGTGTCTTAATATGTGTGTCTTAATATGTTTGTCTGATCATGTGCGTGTCTTAATAGGTGTGTCTGATCATATATGTGTATTAATATGTGTCTGATCATGTGTGTCTTAATATGTAAAGCTGAATATGTGTGTGTCTTAATGTGTCTGATCATTTGTGTGTCTTAATATGTGTCTTAATATGTGTCTGATCATGTGTGTAGCTCAATACGTGTGACTGTGGTTGATCATGTCTATGTGTGTCTGAGGACATGCCTGATTATGTGTGAGTGTGTTTCCCCTCTTTTTGCGTGTGTGTAGCTTGATAACAGTGTACGAATCTACATTTAAACGTCGCTTTATGCAATGAATCATTTTGTTATCCATAGTGTTGTACGTTTTGTTTTTTACTCTCCCACCACTTCCAGAATGTGTGTGAGTCTCTCTTACAATATTCTTTATATCTTTACAGCAGTCTTTATGCTGATGTGTATATCGTAATCTAGGAATATTGAAATAGGGCTAATCAAAAAACAAAATTTGCAGCAATCATTGACAAATCAACAAAACTATTGAAAGGAAGAGGTCATGCCACCCTGGATCCTGCTGTGGATCATCCCTGGATCCTGCTGTGGATCATCCCTGGATCCTGCTGTGGATCATCCCTGGATCCTGCTGTGGATCATCCCTGCATCCTGCTGTGGATCATCCCTGCATCCTGCTGTGGATCATCCCTGGATCCTGCTAAGGATCATCCCTGGATCCTGCTGTGGATCATCCCTGGATCCTGCTGTGGATCATCCCTGCATCCTGCTGTGGATCATCCCTGCATCCTGCTGTGGATCATCCCTGCATCCTGCTGTGGCATCATATCAATCAGTGTCCATGTGTTAACCTCTTGTTGTGTATGTGACTTGATGTCTGTAGTCGGGAGAACTAATTATGGGTGTCTCTGAAGTTTCTGCCTATGTCTGCGTATATGTCAGTTTGTCGAAAAAGACAGAGATAAATTACGGGTTCACACAAAACATGCCTGTGTCTGCATGTCTGTTCACAGAAGGCAGTGTTTCTGTTTGTGTACACTCAAGTTCAAACTTGACAATGTCTGTCACTAGATCAGTCCCTGATGATCATTATTTACAAAATATACATCACAAGTTAAATATCTACATCATCCGTGTATCCCTCCACACAAAGTCCACTTGTTTGGCTCCAGTGTCCCATGGAGCTTTTGTTTGGCTCCAGTGTCCCATGGAGCTTTTGTTTGGCTCCAGTGTCACCTGGAGCCGGGCTCACTGTGGCGGCGTCTGAGCTGCACATGTTGTTTCTTCAGGGAAGTCCAGGATGATGCGGTTGGCCTGCCGGAGATACTGCTGCTGCTTGTAGTAAATCTTGAGAACACCCTTGATGGCGATAAATGCTATACCACCCTGCAAACAGAAATAGTGACCTTTTGTACACCCTTGATGGCAATAAATGCTATACCACCCTGTAAACAGAAATAGTGACCTCTTGTACACCCTTGATGGCGATATATGCTATACCACCCTGAAAACAGAAATAGTGACCTCTTGTACACCCTTGATGGCGATAAATGCTATACCACCCTGTAAACAGAAATAGTGCCTTTTGTACACCCTTGATGGCGATAAATGCTATACCACCCTGTAAGCAGAAAGAGTGACCTTTTGTACACCCTTGATGGCGATAAATGCTTTACCACCCTGTAAACAGAAATAGTGACCTTTTGTACACCCTTGATGGCGATAAATGCTATACCACCGTGAAAACAGAAATCGTGCCCTTTTGTACACCCTTGATGGCGATAAATGCTATACCACCCTGTAAACAGAAATAGTGCCTTTTGTACACCCTTGATGGCGATAAATGCTATACCACCCTGTAAACAGAAATAGTGACCTTTTGTACACCCTTGATGGCGATAGACCTTTTGTACACCCTTGATGGCAATTAATGCTATACCACCCTGTAAACAGAAATAGTGACCTTTTGTACACCCTTGATGGCGATAAATGCTATACCACCCTGTAAACAGAAATAGTGCCCTTTTCTACACCTTTGATGGGGATAGATACCATACCCACTCTCACTCCACCCACACTCAACCCTACCACACTCACACCACTCACACTCACACCACCTACACTCACACCACCCACACTCACACCACCCACACTTACACCACCCACACTCACACCACCCACACTCACCCCACCCACCCTCACTCCACCCACACTCACCCCACCCAAACTCACCCCACCCACACTCACTCACCCCACCCACACTCACCCACTCCTACCACAATCACCCCACCCACACTCACTCACCCCACCCAAACTCACTCACCTCACCCACACTCACTCCATCCACACTCACCCCACCCAAACTCACCCCACCCACACTCACCCACTCCTTCCACACTCAGCCCACCCACACTCACTCACCCCACCCACACTCACTCACCCCAACCAAACTCACTCACCCCACCCACACTCACCCCACCCAAACTCACCCCACCAACACTCACTCACCCCACCCCAACTCACTCCACCCATACTCACCCCACCCACTCCACCCAAACTCACCCACACTTACACCACCCCACCCACACTCATCCACCACCCAACCCACACTAACCCCACCCACACTTACACCACCCAACCCACACTTACACCACCCCACCCACACTCACCCTACCAACACTCACTCCACCCACGATCACCCCATCCACCCACACTTACACCACCCAACCCACACTTACACCACCCCACCCACACTTACACCACCCAACCCACACTTACACCACCCCACCCACACTCACCCCACCCCACCCACACTCACACCACCCCACCCACACTCACACCACCCACACTCACACCACCCAACCCACACTCATCCCACCCACACTTACACCACCCAACCCACACTTACACCACCCCACCCACACTCACACCACCCACACTCACCCACACTTACACCACCCAACCCACACTCATCCCACCCACACTTACACCACCCAACCCACACTTACACCACCCCACCCCACCCACCCCACCCACACTCACACCACCCCACCCACTCACACCACTCAACCCACACTCACCCCACCCACTCTCACCCACACCACCCAACCCACACTCACCCCACCCACACTTACACCACCCCACCCACACTTACACCACCCCACCCACACTCACCCACACTTACACCATCCCACCCATACTTACACCACCCCACCCACACTTACACCACCCAACCCATACTTACACCACCCAACCCACACTTACACCACCCCACCCAAAATCACCCACATTTACACCACCCAACCCACACTTACACCACCCCACCCACACTCACACTTACACCACCTAACCCACACTTACACCATCCACACTCACCCACACTTACACCACCCAACCCACACTCACCCACACTTACACCACCCCACCCACACTTACACCACCCCACCCACACTCACCCACACTTACACCACCACACCTACACTCACCCACACTTACCCCACCCACACTCACCCACACTTACACCACCCCACCCACACTCTACCACACTTACCCCACCCACTCTCACCCCACCCACTATTACACCACCCATGTTCATTCCACCCACATGTAAGTTCAGCATGTACCCCACCAACATGTATATTCAAATTGGGTTAAAACATCAATGAATGTAAAACTTTGGGCATAACAGGTAATGAGACAGGTGACTGAAAACCTGTCGTCCTTCTGAAACACATTCCCAGCATTTGGTATGTCAGGTAGTTTTTGTTTGCACGAAACAGTTTGACGAGTCATCATTTGACATCGACCAATGAGTGATTATGGTGAAGGAAACACGCTCACATGTCTGCATGAATGCTATGCACCCCTTCTACACAGCTGACTTTTCTGTAAAAAATGTGTTAAACACGAGAAACATTTTCGGGGTTAGTACGGGGCGCTTATAGAGATTCATTGCAGAATTATAAGTCTAAAAGTGCTTGGATGGGGGTGTCTAATACGACAAATACATTATCGTGTAAACTGAAATCGTTATGATCTTCTAGAGATTCCAGCCTAGATTCTGTCAATCATTATCGGATAACAGACAGCAAGTCAGGCAGATACCCACGCCATGCCAGTCTGAATCTCCTTGACACCAAATCAGGCAGAAGTTGAAAACATGAAAAAAAATAAAAAATCAGAATAAAGACATATCAAAATCTAACGAAAGTGTTCCTTAAATTTAAATTTAAAAAGAATCCATTTAATAGTTCACAAGTTATAGGTTGAACAAATGTTAAAGTAAACAAAACTTCTAAAAATTCATATTTTCTCAGAAAATCTACATATCTAAATCATACTTTGCAATGCACCTCTTCTATTTATGTGACAACTGTTCGCTATCCATGCTGTAGTTTTCAAGTTATAGGTCGCACAAATGTTTAAGTAGAATTCTGAGTAACAACAAGAGGCCCATAGGGCCTGTATCACCCACCTGGATATTTACGCAATCATGAGTGAGTGAGTGAGTTGGGTTTAACGCTGTTTTTAACAGTATTCCAGTTTTATCGCGGTGTGTCAGTATAATGTGGGAGGAAAGCCCAGAGTGATGCAGGTCTTAGACGCTTACCACTTCGGTGAAACCCACGAGCACGGGTATGGCGCTGACAAACCTAGAAACATAATCGGGGCGAACCAGGATTCGAAACCACGATCATAGGTTTCTGGCGTGCCCAAGGGACGCAACTCTGCACAGCGAATCGCGGCGCCTTAGACCACTGGGCCACCCGTGCCCCCTTATGCAATCATGACAAAATATACATTTGCATTGTACATGTATATAACACTACAAATATTTCCTAATTTTGACTGTCAGTATTTAAAAGGGGTGGATGGCAAATCTGACAGCATGAACGTGTACTCCTCTAGATACAAATGTAGCATAAAGATCTGAACCGTTTCCATGTTATGATCAAGGATATAAGTTTCCAGAGGCAAGGTTGGACCCAAGGGCGAATCCTATTGGCATAAATGTATTATTCTCTTCATAACAAACATATGTATAAATGTATCTGTTTATTATAGGGTGGGGATAATATCAGTTTGCATGTTATGGTCAAGGTTCTAACTCCTTTGAGACTGCAGGACAGAGCTACAGTCCTGGGCCCACTTACACAAAGCGATCTTAGCGCTAAGATGATCGTAACTCCCATACTTTAACATCGGCTTACAATAGTCTTAGCGCTAAGATCGCTTTGTGCAAGAGGGCCCTGGTAGCATATGTGCAATCCTCTCATAAAACTCAGCAATTGTACATATGGTTATACGGTGGGGATCTAAACTGTGTCCAAGTTATAAACTCTTTTTGGCCCTGCCCCTCAGCCCCTCCATTTATCCAATTTGAATCCCCACCATTGGAGAAAGCTTCCAACCAAATATGGTTGATATCTATCTCTTAGTTCCAGAGAGGAAGTCGTTAAAAGCAATAACGCAAAATTACCCCTATTTCGCCCTGCCCCTCAGCCCCTTGGGGGGTGATCAGCCCTTTCATTTGTACAATTTTTAATTCTCACCACCGGAGAATGCTTCCAACCAAATATGGTTGATATCTATCTCTAAGTTCCAGAGAGAAGTCGCTTGAAGCATTAACGCCAAATTATCCCTATTTGGCCCCGCCCCTCAGCCTCTTGGGGGTTCAGCCCCTCCATTTGTAAAATTTTGAATCCTCACCACCGGAGAATGCTTCCAACCATATATCGTTGATATCTATCCTTAGTTCCAGAGAAGAAGTCGTTTAAAGCAATATAGCCAAATTACCCCTATTTGGCTCCCGCCCTCAGTCCCCTGGGAGGTCAGCGCTGCCATTTGTACACTTTTTATTCCCCACCACCTAGCGATGCTTCCAGTCAAATTTCGTTAATTTCCAATGAGTTGTTCAGAAGAAGAAGTCGTTTGGAAAAATTGTGAACATAGGGACGCCGGAGGGACACCACGGTATGGCATAAGCTCACCTTGGTCCTTTGCACCAGGTGAGCTAATAAAAATGAATAGTTGTATTTCTCAGAAAATCCGAATATTGAAATTAAACTTAGCACTGCACCTCTCCTTTTGGTTAAGAAAGTGTTCACCAAGTTTGAAAAGAATCTACGCATTAATTTTCAAGATTTTTTATGCTCGTATTGCGAGGTCACATACTGATGGAAAATGGCAAATGTACATTCAAACAAAACATATCGAATGGCTTTATAATGAAAGGTAAAATACACCATGTATACATTAAAAAGAATATAAAAGACTCCCGAACAATTACTAGCTTCACGAGGAAGGTGTTTACATTACATGCAAAGACAGAAGCAGCCACCCCAAGCTCACATTTTCCCAAATGCCCCATCAGAAATATATATCAACTCACTAGTAAAGTCCTCTGGAAATTGGATTCCACAGACCCAAACATGAGTTTGCCTACGATGGTTGCAATGGTGGGCATGATCAGGGCCCCACACAGCACCCGTGTGGCAGAGATGGGGTCGGACAGCGGCACAGTCTCAGCCGGGACGCGGGTCAGCCGCGAATACTCTGAAACACAAAGTATCGTATTAAGATCATGTCAAACCCCGATCCATTTAGTTTCTTCCTGAAAAAAACGCTCCTTTACATTTTGTAGAATGTTATGTTTGATTGAAAAAATATATATACATCTTTTTACTTTTTATTTCTTCAATATCATCTCCTACCTTTTTGTACATGACTTAGTATTTCACTCATCATGGCAACATGACTTAGTATTTCACTCACTATGGCAACATGACTTAGTATTTCACTCATCATGGCAACATGACTTAGTATTTCACTCACTATGGCAACATGACTTAGTATTTCACATACTCTGACAACATGACTAAGTATTTCACACACTATGGCAACATGACTTAGTATTTCACTCACTATGGCAACATGACTTAGTATTTCACTCATCATGGCAACATGACTTAGTATTTCACTCACCATGGCAACATGACTTAGTATTTCACATACTCTGACAACATGATTTAGTATTTCACTCACTATGGCAACATGACTTAGTATTTCCCTCACCATGGCAACACAACTTAGTATTTCACTCACTATGGCAACACAACTTAGTATTTCACTCACCATGGCAACACGACTCAGTATTTCACTCACTATGGCAAAATGACTTAGTATTTCACTCACTATGGCAACACGACTTAGTATTTCACTCGCTATGGCAACACGACTTACTATTTCACTCGCTATGGCAACATGACTTAGTATTTCCCTCATTATGGCATCATGACTTAGTATTTCACTCGCTATGGCAACACGACTTAGTATTTCACTCACTATGGTAACATGACTAAGTATTTCACTCTTCTTTTAAAACTTACTCACTCATTAACATGAAAGCATTTGACGTTATTCACTCAAAGTTTGGTGGACATCCATCATTAATTACAAAGTTACTAAACCCAAACTATCAATAAGCAAAGAAACAGAGAGCCAGGGGTGCTTTGACAGCTCTAGTTGTGGCATCTGAGTGAGTGAGTGAGTGAGTGAGTGAGTGAGTGAGTGAGTGAGTGAGTGAGTGAGTGAGTGAGTGAGTGAGTGAGTGAGTGAGTGGGTGGGATTTGGGTGGGATTTGGGTGGGTGAGTGCTGTTTTAAGGAAACGGCAGGTTTGGTATAAATGCTGCACCCCACATGTCTACAATGAACCTGATCGGCAGCAGCGGCAAGCTTGTATCAACATTCTACAGAAGCCATGGACAATCGCCAGGAGTGAGCACAAGTCAAACGAGGGAAACGTTTATAACATTGTGAATCCCCCTCCCTCCACTCTCTACCAGCCAAGTCAGAGGGGAAGCAACAAAAATAGGCTAAAATAATATCCTTCAATTTTTTGTGCAGTTGAAGAGTAAGGAGGTTGCTTGATGACTCACGGTGGAACGCAGGGTGTGAGCACCAGGGCAGGTGAGAGTGTTCATCAGCTGATTAGCATCAGCTTGACAGTGTGCATCACTGCATGGGTGTTAGACATTACCCTGCAGTCTTGTGATCAGCCGTAACAAAGTTTGTTTGTTTGTTGTTTAACGCTGCACTCAGCAATATTTCAGCCGTATGACAGCAGTCTGTGAATAACTGAGTCTGGACCAGACAATCCATTGATTGATATCATGAGCATCGATCTACACAAATGGAATACAATGACATGCATCAACCAAGTCAGTGAGCCTGGCCACTCGATGCTGTTAGTCGCCTCTTACAACAAGCATAGTCGCCTCTTACAGCAAGCATGGGTTGCTGAAGACATATTCTACCCTGGATGTTCATAGGTCCCTTAAAAAGGTGCTGTATGGTGATACTTGGAGCAGGCAAACCGCTCTTCTCTTGAGTTAGTTCATAATTACATATTTATCACGTCGGGTATGATTGTACACAAAGACAGCCAGGGATTTATTTCAATGCTTCTCTGTCTCATGGATCGTCTCAGAGGAACCACTAGATATTAAGACACTTTAATCAAAATTAACCACATCCCATCTCATATCCTCGGGTAGCCTCGTGGTTAAAGCATACGCTCGTCATGTTGAAGACCCGGGTTCGATTCCCGACATGGGTACAATGTGTGAAACCCATTTCTGGTGTCCACCGCCGAGATATTGCTGGGATATTGCTAAAAGCGGCGTAAAACCATACTCACTCACTCACCCATCTCATACCCCAACTACCTACTCCACTAATTGCAAATATCGAACCTGTGTCTAAAACGTGGGAATGAAACACCCCAACCACTATGTCATCCTTCGACATTCTGCCCGACCGCAAGATATCAGCTCAGCATCACAGACAACAGATGATAGAACTTAACAAATTCATGAAACGGATCAATATCCTGAAGAAGACTGCTGGATTTGAGTTAATACAAAATGCACATGATTATTAAACCTGAGAGCAATAAGGCAACAGAACTCTGGAAAACCTGTCTCATTCAAGGATCGGGGTGAAAAAGTGCATGCAGATTGATAGTTTTGAAGTATAGAATTTTTGCACCTTCTGAAAGAGTCATATTTCCCTGCATATTTGATTCTGGCAGGGTTTTTTTCAAATCCAAAACAGGTCCAACTGCACATGGGGAATACTTTAAGCACACACCCTGTACAAAGGCACCTGCTGGCAATTAGTCACAGTTTATGTACACATTAACCCTCAGCTCCTCACAGCAATAAACTGTCCAGTAAATTCTCTACACGGAGTGAGTGAGGGAGTGAGTGAGTGAGTGAGTGTGTGTGTGAGTGCTGTTTTAAGGCATCCTCCACAAGACGTCATCAAGATAAACTTGATTACAAGCTTACATTAAATTATAAAAGATGTAAAATAGTTCAAAGGCCGGGTTCAGGTTTTTCTAACCACAGAGTGTGAAGTCTATTTTTAACCTCCTGTGGGAGGTCCAACTGGCAATAAATCAAAGCTGTACACAGGCATTTCACTAATAAGATGGTATTTATTTTTTTTGTCGCTGGGGACCATTTCTAATTTTAAATGGGCCCCCACCCCCTTGGAATCGCCACTATTATTACACCACTACATCGTTGCCTAAACTATCTTCATGGAGTCAGTGAGTCTGCTTTTACCCGGCTCTTTTAATTGTCGGGATGTAAACAACAACGTGACAATAGAGAACAGATCTGTTTGTTTGTTTGTTTAACACTTCACTTAGCAATATTCCAGCTTTATGACAGCGGTCTGTAAATAATCAAATCTGGACCAGACAATCCAGTGTTTGACATTATGCGCATCGATCCCTACAATTGGGATGAGATGATATGCTTCAACCAAGTCATTGAGCCTGACAACTCGATCCTGTTAGTCGCCTCTTACGACAAGCATGGGATGCTGAAGACCTATTCTAACCTGGATCTTCACAGGTAGATGGGAAAACTGGCGCCAAGGTAGGAGCTCCAACACATTATACTTTTACTAAGTCATTACAAGAGCCTGATCTCGTTTCAACAACTCACCCATCCTCTAATTTTAAGAAGCTACATCAAGCTTTGATTCTCAACAGTGATAAGAAGAAGAGAAATAGCCTGTATGCCCACAGTGCATAAGTTTTCAAACCACACCAACAGGGGTTGACTGTAACGAACTTGACTGGTGGCGCCACCTCCGCGACCTTGCTGTCCCTAAAGGCATCAAGCTCCGCTGTTGGCGAACAGGACAAGGCCACACCAACAGGGGTTGACTAACGAACTTGACTGGTGGCGCCACCTTACGGCCTTATTGTCCCTAAAGGCATCAAGCACCGCTGTTGGCGACCAGGACAAGGCCATGAGAGGTCAGGCGTCAGGAGGGGTCATGGGAGTCCAACAATGATGGACGGATATTGTCTATTGCAACAATATTTTGGGAAGGTCAGAACCTTAATTAGTGCTGACAGGCACTGCTAGACACCCTGATTAGGTCCAGGGTTAGGGTTAGGGTTAGGGTGAGGGTTAGGGTTAGGGTGAGGGTTAGGGTGAGGGTTAGGGCTATAGTCAGGCTTGACCAGTGTCGCCCAACAACTCATCGATATCTGACAGGGTATTTTCCATGTGGTACAATCATACGAACTCATTATTTGGGATACCCCGAGGGACCACAGACTCCGTAGTTCAGCAGGTGAGTGATTGAGTGAATGTTGCTAAACGCCGCATCAGCAATTTTGCAGCTATTCATGGTAGAGCAGGAATACCAGGGCAGGAAGACACCATGATGGAGGCACTGTACCTTTATGGGTGAGGTGAGGTGAGGTGAGGTGAGGTGAAATGGGATTATTGCACTTATATATTAGTGTGTATTTGTTTTGTTGTCTTTGGTGTGTGTGTCTGTGTCTGTGTGTGTGTCTGTATGTATTTGTTTTGTTGTCTTTGTGGTGTGTGTGTGTGTGTGTGTGTGTGTGTGTGTGTGTGTGTGTGTGTGTGTGTGTGTGTGTGTGTGTGTGTGTGCGTGTCTGTGTGCTTGTGTGTGTGCTTGTACTAGTCCAGACTGATGCCGATTTATACAATTTAACATGAATACCCCACTCAGACACAGTATACTGACTCCGCACCAGACAGGGTGATATTAAGAACCATCTTTTAACGTCTTTTGGTATGACACAGGCGGGGATTGAACCCAAAATGTCCTTTCTCCGGGCGTACGTTCTACAACGAGACCACAGTGGCGGTCGTACCCTTATGGGGAATAGAACCTTGGTCAGTGTCTCCACATAGTCATAACATACACTGATGAAACACATTTACTGAATTATGTGAGTGTAATAGAGCACCACTCAACTACACCTACAGACAACAGGCATGTTAACAAATCACTAGCAGATACACAATCATAACATGATGAGAGAATGGCATATGACCTAATCAACAGACCATGACATCCATAAGTTATCTCCCTTTAGCTGTCAAGCACCAAGACACTGTTAACACAGAGTTCATTGGTTTTAGCTCCAGATACAAATTAGATTAAGTGCTTAGCTCTATTTGCTCAACTGAGGAAGCACAGGCAAGCTGGTACTTAT